TAATTACGAATCTGTGATATTTACTAAGATAAGGTTTAAGGGACCTATCTAAGAACCAATATGTTCTCAAACTTATCTAGCTAGCATTAGATTTAAATACATAGCATATATAATTGTGATTTTAATACTGTTTCATTCAAACACAGTGAGAATTTTTACCGTTCAATCTGAGCGTCTGCAAACCGCTACACTTCGAATAGTTTTTCCACGATTGTAATAGAAGTATTGCATAGTTTTAGAAGTTTTATATATCAAAACATTTGTCTTGAAATAATCTATCACTCTAGATGTATAAGCACTGATCATATTGTTTATGTTAAACATGATTTGTAATAAGTTTGACTGAACGTCCGTTGAAGGGAACGGTGTCCTGGAATTCCTGCCAGTCGCCGTTCTGCAATTTCATTGGAGAACGGCAGCCGGTACAAATCTGATTGGTCACTAGGAACACACCTTCCTCACCGGGCATTCAGTCATTGGTCAATTTAATCACGTGGTCACATCTCAGAAGCCTATATATTGGCTGGATTCAAGATGATGTCAGTATCTGCGTCTGCTTTCAGACACGTAAATAACTTAAGAGCGGCAAATACAAATATAAAATCTAGTACAAGTAAGTCCCTGGTAAACAATTGTCCTGAGCTGTGTCCACAAATGATTAACGTTTACATATAACTATTGTTGATAAACAGTCTATATTTTCCAGACTTAGTGATGTACAGTTCCGCTTTAGATCTATATAAGAGACGAAAGCTTAACGTTATTACTATATTTATAAAGTATTAATTAACGCATGATAGATGTTAAATAAACTGAGAACTTTATGATCAAATCGTTTATATTAGTTGCGTTTTGTGTTTCCACCTGACACCCGCCGGCCGTTACAATTTATTTCTGTTTCAAGTGCTCATGTTTATCCATGTAAAATATTAAAAATTTACATTTTAGGCAAGCCTCAGTTGAGTTCCTTTAAAATTGACATGATTCTTACAAATTTAAAATATGGCTCTTATGTTAACATACCCTTGCCTAGATGAGGATTATATTTGAAATAACCATTTTTAAAATAACAGTAAGTTGACATCAGACTGGTATAATATTATAATTTCAAGTATGTTAACTGTTCAACATGTTCACATCTCAATAAGGAATTTGTTACTTGAAACATAATGAAAGTAATACCACAATTCTAACACGAATCACATCATTCCCCTATCAAACATATAGAACAGTTAAAAGCATTATTATTATTATGCATTATTATTAAATAAACCACAACGTAATAAAAATTATTTCTCCATTCAAAGCATTCCAACATGTTTTTCATAAATTTTCCTTCTATTACCATGTTAGAATAGAAAAAGGTATCAATTTTTCCTGCATTGTAGTAAAATAATGCACTATACATTTTGTTCAAATGCTTTGTAATTAATCACTCAGGCCTAAATTTATAATTCAAATATAAAGATAGTTTATTTAATCTTTCACAATATTGGTAATTGCAAGTAAGAAGAAAATTCAAGTTTTGATTCTCTCAATATTGCTCACTTTCTTGATAAATATATAGAACAAATAAAGAGTTTGGCATAAAGCCATTAATTTTCATTTTCCCTAGCTCTAGTGAATTTATGAATTACTGACAATCAGTACAGAAATAGGTCACACCTTTTCTAGAAAACTTTTTCCATTTAAAAACATTTGACAAACCAGCACATTTTCTATCAATCCACTTGTTGCAACCATCACAACAAATCCAGTCATCTCCTTCATTATATAACTTATTACATTTTGGACAGAATGAACCATCTTCATCAGATGAATCAGAATGTTCCTGATATAAGTTTTTTCTAGGCTGTTTAGAAGATGAAACATTTACACCAGAAGTTGATGGCTTTGGCTCTTGTTGAGATGTCTTACTGCTCTGTCTAACATTTTTTGGTAACGAATGACTTGGCTTCTGTGGAACTTTATCCTCACAGCTTTTTGTCGTCTTTGTATTGGAAACATGAACCTGTTTTCGGTGTTCCATTTTTTTCTTAACTTTCAATGATGTAATGACATCACTTGTAAATTGCTTAAATAAAACTGAGCTTGTAAGTGATACAAAGTCATTAAATATTTCTTCTAATACAACTGCATTATATGTTAGATCATTTAAACAAGACTCAACTTCAAAATCATCACATTCTACACTTACAGAGTCAAATGAAACCTCTTCCATTGCATAAACTTTGCATATGACACGGATAAAGCATTCATGTAAACTTGTATTACCACTTACAATGGCAAGAACATATTCATGCAAATTACTCCCATATCTGTGTATGATGAGATAAAGTAGTTTTGATTAAAGCTTCAAAAAATGTGTATGCTTCTTCAGTTATATTTGTGAGTCCTCTGTTTCTGTGTTTATGTTCTGTTTTCTTGATGTTTCCAGTAGAGTTTCAGGATTTTTTTATGTTGATGCCTCGGAGCAAGTTAAGAACTGAAGAAATTTAACCCTTCTTTTTGATAACTCATACTGATCAGCATGTTTTTTAGCTGTTTTAAATGCACTTTTTTGAATCAATAAATTGGTTTGATAACACAGTTTTGCAACCACATATCCTCCAATATATCGGACTTTGCCTTTAGCTGTATCTGACATGTCACTACTAAAATGTCTTTGACTACTCCCTGGTGCAAATTCATGCTCTAGCAGGTTTTCAGAAGCTTTTTCTGAAATATATTTCTTTAAAATTGACATGATGTCGTAACCCACATATAATACAATATCCACATGATCATTCTCAGGCAATAAATTCATTATTTATGTTTTGTAAGAATCAGATATTAAATGCAGCCGGAATTCTTTGTGAAAAGCACCCTGGGTCTTCAGTTATCGTTTGTCCTTCGTAGAATTTTCAAAAGTTTGTTTAAGGAATGAATATTGTAATTTACAAAATATTGTCAATTTTTCTGTGTTAATAAGCAAATAATCTACCAACTGATTATAAACAACATGTTCTTGTCTACTGGGATCATCCAATTTCAGAGCTTTAACTTTCTCAATTAACAAAAGGTCAGCTGGAATAGAAATTTCAGGGACATCTTCATTATTTTGACAGATGTGAAACTGTCCAAATCAACACTTAAAAGTAATTCATCATCAAATTCAGAAAATGGCTCTGTTTGAGTGAATTCACACTGGAAGTCAGATTGTGAAGTTGGTGTAACATCCGAGTGTTGCAGCACAGGTGTTTCACTGCTGGAATCTGTTTGAAATCTGGAAATATACATTTTAAAATAAAAGTATATCTTCATGGAAGAGTTCAAAGTAAAATGTACATACATTTAACAAGAAGGCCATGATTGTGCTATAAAGTGATCGGAATATATTGATTGAACAGGTTAAAATCAAAATAAGTTTACATTTTTCTATAATTCCTTTAATTTTTTTTTGCTTATTGGGCATAATAAATAACTACAATGTAACTTGACCCAAGTATATTTCTAAAATTATCAACAGAAATGTACCTGTAATATAATTAATAAAAAGGTGGACCAGCCTTATTTTCTACAAAGATGTTATATTTGATCCTAAACATTTTCCATATTGGTCATTTTTTTAATATACTAATATGGCATTAGATACCTAATGCAGTATTTCCTTTCTGAAGAGTATTCATTTTAAGTGAGGATACAAGGGTTTTGATAGGGCATGGGTTCAAACCGTAGGAGATGCAAATTTTTTTTTACAATTTTTGTCTTTTTTCTACATTTTGTTTTGTCATATTATGATTTTCTTTCTGATTTTATATCTAAAATTCGTAATACAAATAAAATGAAGTTTTATGTATAATTTTTACCCCAAATGTGTGAAATTGGATTGCATAACCATTAAAAATGATTTTAATTTAAAGAACAGCATGGTAAACTTATATTTTGCACAAATGTTAAGAATATTTTCTAGACAATCAATATTGAAATATTTTGATGCCCTGGTTACAATTGACAAAATCTTATATGAGCCGCGTCATGACAAAACCTACATAGTGGGTTTGCGACCAGCATGGATCCAGACCAGCCTGCGCATCCGTGCAGTCTGATCAGGATCCATGCTGTTTGCTATCAGATTCTCTACTTGTTATAGGGTTTGTAAGCGAACAGCATGGATCCTGATCAGACTGCGTGGAAGCGCAGGCTGGCCTGGATCCATGCTGGTCGCAAACCCATTATGTTGGTTTTGTCATGACACGGCTCATATGTTTTCTTAGCAAAACCTCTTATTAATTTATGTAAAATGACGGGTACCTGTCTCAATAAAAAAAATAACCTTCATAAAGGTTTAACATTGATTTACTTGTGTGTTGTATCACTGATGCATATTTTATAACTGTTAACAGATACAGAGATGTAAATGCCCATTCTAATTAGATTTAAAACAAAAATATGTGGGTTAGAAGGTTTAATATATACATGAATATTTGCAAGATTGACAATTAACTTTTTCTTTTACAGGCTTATTCAACATCTCTATGTTGACAATGATAGCAGTCTATGTATACAAGACATCATGGACACATATAAACTAGAAGCAGTACTAGATTCCAAGGATTCTGAGGTGATATCATTGGACAGACTTGGTATGGTGCTGAAGAGAGTTTTTAATGTTTCATCAAAGCGAAAGTTGTTTGCAGGTAAAAAGCAAGCACATTATTCTTTGAGTTGGAAACAAAATTCTTCACAAGAAAGTAGTTCGTTTTCTACTGAGAATGTTATATTGTCTTTACCACCAGGCTTTATATTGAAAAATGTTACTGACACAAGTGTAGAAGTGTTTTATGAGACTCCAGTGACAGTGAACAAAAACTCTGTGAATAAAGTAATTGTATTTGAGGAACAGAAATTCTCTGTTTACATACGAGAGACTCCTATTGACTTAAAACAACTTATGATTTCTGAGAAATATGAGTGTAACAGAGAAGGTATTGAAGCTGTATGTTTAGCAGTAAGAGCAATAAAACTTTGCGAAGGTACAACTCTTGATACAAAAAAACAGGTTGAAATGAAAGAAAATTATATGATTGAAACTACATGTATGAATAAAAATAAAGAGACCACTAAATTAGTAAGATCAAAATATTGTAAGCAAGTGGTGTCATTTATACATATGAAAGAACCACAATGTCACACGTGCAAACGACAAGAAATAAAATATGTTGAAAAAGTGCCTGAAAAAAGCGACCTAGACACTATTAAAGAATTAATGCCTCAAGCCACAGAAGGTATGATAACATTGTTTATGTCACAAATAAAAAATTCAAAGAATAATGACTCCAGGCAAAACAGGTGGGACAGGAAAATCATGACTGAATGCCTTAACTGGTACACAAGAAGCCCACTTAGTTACATTCAACTTAGGGAATCGGGTTTATTATTACTTCCCTCACCTCAAATGATTTTACTATATAAAAATAGTGTTGAGCATACACCAGGTATGTCAAGACAAATTTTTCAATGGATGGACCAGGAGGCCACGAGAATGAACATCCCTGAAACTGGCAGAGTCGGCGGTATTCTCATAGATGAAATGTCCATTCAACAGAAGCTTGAAATACGTAAGTGTGGACAGTCTATGGAAATGGTTGGTTTTGTAGATATGGGACAAGAAAGTAAACACCTCTCTGACCTTCGAGAAGGAAAAAAGGGCAAAAAATTAGGCACACATATTCTACAATTTTTATTCCAAGGGATCAGTGGATTTAGATTTCCCTTCGCTCATTTTGTTTCGGACCAAGTGAATGCATGTGATATCTTCATTCATTTTTGGGACTCCGTGAAAAACTTATCACTTTATGGTTTCAAATGCAAATACATCTGTATGGATGGAGCAGTCAGTAATCGTTCTTTTATGTCCATGCACTTCAATGATGACAATATAATTCAAAGAATGAAATCACCAATGCCCTGTAATCCCACTGAAGACCTTATTTTTATGATGGACCCTTCACATACATTTAAAAAAATAAGAAACAATTTGCTAAAAAGTGGCAATCATCTAAAGTGTACAAGACTACTTACATTACCGTCTGGCAAAGAAATTCAATGGCAAATGTGGATAGATTCATATTTATGGGACAGAAGAAATCCAATACAAATACACAGAAGTCTCACTAATGAGCATTTATTCCAAAACCAGTCGGAAAAAATGAGAAATAAGCTTGCTGAAGATGTATTAAACAAAGACATGCTGAATTTATTGATATCATACCAACAATATTTAGGAACAAAGGGTGCAGTACTTGATGGTGCAATAGAATTTTTACAAAACACATCTGTTCTCATTGAAATATTCAGAGACAGGCGTACCATGAATGATTTCAATAATCTTAACATTACAAAAATAAATGCTGTTCAACAGTGGTTTTTAAACTGGCACCAGCAAACAAAATCTTCAAAATTTCTGATGTCAGCTCAGTGTCATGAAGATTTACAGTCATCAATTATTGGTTTTGTTGAATTGTGTAAATATATTTTTGAAAAATATCCTGGCACCTCAATAGTTCCTGCAATGATTAACTCTGATGCAATTGAAAATAATTTTTGTCAACATCGTGGAAAATTTGATGGATAAAATACAAATCCTACTGCATTTCAGTACAGTAGAAACATAAATGGTGTAACTCTAGGACAAACAGCAATTTCAAAAAAAAGTAAAAAAAGCGGTAACTAAAATGACACAAAATTTTGCTTTCTCTTCAAAAAATTCAGTAAGAAATGAGTCAAAGAAGCGTAAAAGTGAAACCTCTCCAAATCAGACATTAAAATGTATTCGCATGTAAATCAGCTTGATAAATATTCAAATATAGGGAAAAAAAGTGATCCCTCGGAAGCATTAAAATGATTGTTGATTTCAATCTGTTTGTGAGAGGAGAAAAAAACTAATTTAAAAACTTTGAAGTTGTTTACCTTAAAATACAACATGAAAAGTCAGGCTCTGGTGGAGTCCACTGCTTGTGAAATAAATCAAGAACTGTTGTTGGTTGGGAAATAACAGCACTTTTTGAGAAGTTTACAACCCTTAAGTGATCAGGTGACTTCACCCTGCTCATCGCAACAGCCAACTGCCCCGGCTGAAAAATTTGTCTGCAGTCAACTTCAACCCTGCAGATGTAAGTATGAATTTTTACATTCATGCAACAACACTATATATAGACATATTTTTTAATACTTTCTATTTGTAAAAAATTAAGATATAAATGAAGTTTCATATGCTTTTAAAGTTTTAAGTATAATTCTTAAATTGACATTATGTTCATAATTAAAGTGAGTGTAATATTGATTACACCTACCTATTGAGTGTCATTCCTTGAGCTTTATGAACAGTCATGGCATAACAGAGTTTTAATGGAATCTGATTCCTAACTGCTTCATTTCTCTTTGTAGCTGGATCATATACTAAAATTTCAATGAAAGAACATATTGTAATATTTAAATATTGTAACCTCTGTAGAGCAACACCCTTTGTGCAACAAATATTTGGTTGTTACTGAGAGGTATTGGTCTATTAAGGTCAATTTAAATATGAAATCTACTTGGAAATGTTGTTGTGAGGAAGTTATTAATAGCTACAGTCAGCTACTTTACATAGACTTCTGGTTTGTAAATAATTTGCGCAATGTTTCAGAAAAGGAGGTATTTAAAAAGAAAAGTTGAATTAACAATAGTTTCACTAATTACATTTACATAAATACCTGCGAAATTCATCCTGGTTAATGTGGTAACCATGTCTAAGCTTTGAAATCTGACAACCACTTCCCCTTCTTTTATATCTAACACTGTACCATGCAACCCATTTACCATTCTGTCGGAGAGATTTCTCAGTAGCATGACCTGAAAGAGATTGAATAAAAAAAAATCATAAAGTCAACATTTTCATAAATGAAATAATTTAATTTTTAAAATCTTTTAAAAAGTTTACACTATCTTTCATATCAATAATTATATTACTAGTGCATTTATCTCAATAATTAAAATAAACAGACAGTAATTTTTTCACTTTTAATTAATTATATTTAAAAAAAACAAATATAAAAATTCTGTATATTAATTTACCTTTGCATTTTTTTTTAGCCACAATGTTTTCTGAATAGTAAGACTATTTAAAAGGCGTTCTTCTCCTTCATCAATTGCCTCAAATTCATAAATCTCTCCAGGAAGTCCCATAAGACAGTCCCTGTTGTACATGTCAGCCAGTATGTTTACACAGAATAATCTTGTGGTATCTTCTGTACAGATCAAAGGTCTACAAAGTTTCTTGACATATATTAAAGTCTCTTCATCCACATCTCCTTTTGCAATACTATGTACCACATTTATAAACTGACTGTCTGTCTGTCTCATCACCTCAGTTAAAAATATGTGATGGACTGGGAATACATCAGACAGAAAACAAAAGTCTCCAGCATCACAGTATCGGGAGTTCTTTACAGGTGGAAGTTGTAAAAAGTCACCAACTAGTACTATTTGTACACCACCAAATAAACAATGTGACTGCCTTGAATGTCTCATGACTCTTTCCAACTTTTCAAACATAACCTGACTGAACATGGATACTTCATCAATGATTAAAATATCCGTTTGTTTCATTCTCCTGACAGCTTCCATGTAGTGGTCATCTCCTGCATCAATGAGAGTCATAATCTCTTGTGCTGAATATCTTCCATCCCCTAAACAACTCCATTTATGGACAGTCATAGCCTTGAAAGTCTGAAAAGATAACATCAGGTAACAACCATTAGAAATCATGTAATACAACAATATTTACTATAAATAAAATTTCTAAAACAACATATCTTTACATTAAATTTTCTTAGAAAAGTTTAAGGACTTTTCACAGGTAGGGAAACATTAAAGGTGAATTTGCAAAATTGCATATATTTTACAAATTTTTATAAAATTTAATACGTAGATTTCAAAAATCGTTTTGAAAAAATGTTTTGTAAACTCCTTTTGTAAAAAAAATGTGATTTAGTAAGTCGTTTTTTCGTTTGTTTCATTTAGCTATTGATTTAACATTAGCATTATATGTTTTAATTAAGTGCGTGTGGCAGTGTGTCACACATAATAAAACATGGATCCTCACAATGACTGTTTTCCAAAAAAAAATTCTTGAATGTCTGAGTTGTGGTTCAATCAACAATTAAAAATAGTATGTACGGTATGTTAACAAATGATTTTGTAACTAATCATTATTTAAAACATTAAAAAACATACATATTTTAATAGGATAAAATATAAGAATGTATGCAAAATTCTGTACAAATAAAATAAAATGTTTTTATTGTCATGTAGATATCCAACACCTTTCTTAGAACATTAGCAATCAAATTCAATTAAAAGTTTTGAATCATATAGGATGAACCAGGGTCAGCTTCAAAACCCTAAAAGTCAAAATGATCGACCCTTTTCAAAATTGGCATGTGTCGATTGGCCCACTTTTATATTACGAGACAGTGTTTACATTACTTATGCCAATTCTTTTTAGTGCAAAATGTTTGTATCATGTTTATGTTGTTGCTTTTGTGTGTAGATAACATATATATTATTATTATTATAAGTCAAAAAAAAATGTCATCAGCTATAAATACATAAATGATAACAATTAATCTGGTGATTTTAATTATAGATTGCATTCACCCTGGAAAATCATTGCCCTACTGCCTTTAGATAATTAGGTACAATATAATAAACATCTTAATTATTTTGCTTATTAACATTATAAAATTTTACTCAGCAGGCAAATTTAATTATTTTCAAATTACCAATTTCCATTACTAATGGCATTAGTGCCAAACCCCTTGCGGGGATGTGTTCATCTATAACTACTGTATATAAAAGCATGCATACTAATATAACTTTATGTTGATATCATTGATTTGTTTTTCGAGTTGAAATGTGCCAAACTGACCGGTGCCGAGTTGATAAAGGGCCGAGACATCGTACTTTGTTACTGTCATTTATATTTGTAGAACCAACAATGACCAAATTATCAATATCAGCAAGGAGCCATTTAGTCTGTTTTATTTTCCTTTGCCTTTTATACTGGCATTATAATTCATGACAAGGCAAACGTTGTTATAAACCACAAACCTGTGGATACAAGCAGCATGCCACCCCCGTTGTACATGTCAGCGCCAATTGTTTTCCAGTGTTATGTGCCCATTCTGTAATTGCTTTTACCATGTATGACTTCCCAGTACCTGCTACCCCTCCGATATACACATTATGTCCCGATTTAATATAAATCATAGCGTTTTCCTGTTCTATATTCAACATTTCGAGCGTTGCAGTGAGCGTTGCATACAGCGTGAAAAAGTAAACTTCCGTCTCTCTTTCGTTTTGGACTATACAGTAGCCGCGAAAGCCGAGTCCTTCCGATTTCGCGCTTAACCGGCGAAATCCGAGTTCTTCCGATTTCGCGCTTAACCAATCCTTACTTTACCTTATATTCAGTGCGGTAATGCATGAAATGGTTGCTTTCTGAAACGGAGCTGTCAATAATTTTTAATTTTTCAGCTTGATGGCGTTATCATCGGACAGTTGAGAAGTAAAGGCTTCGCAGTTTGACTGTAAACAAGTTGTTTTAAAGAAAGTATGTGGAAATTTTAACAGTTATTCGTTGATTTCGTAGGAATTGACCAGAATTCACCTTTGTTTACACGCATCGCTTGGACGTCGGAAACGACATGCAATGAAATTTCAGTGAAATTTGGAAACTTGCTCGTATTTTGGAGCATTTTGAGGGATTTCGATGAAGTAAAAAGTTTTTATGATAGGATAAATCATCCATAGAGACGACCACAAAGACAAAATAGTGATCTGGTCTATTTTTACAGAACAGTTCTTGTTGGTTTTGCATGATAGTTTTCTCTCGTTAGGGGCCTTTATTCTTTATATATAGTATTATGAGCATATAGAGGTAAATTAATTGTGTCTAGTGCCTGTGCATTCAAGTAAGGTAAATATATTTTGACTCTTGAGAAGAAAAATGTTTTTCCCATATTTTACAGAATAAATGTATTTTTTTCTCAAGAGTCAAAATATATACCTCTCTGTTACATGTTTAGATCTGAATCACCCTCTTTAAAGATGATTGGGAGGTTAAGCATGTTACAACTTACTATAAACAGGTCTAGGATTTCATGATATTTATGGACTGTCCGTAAATTTATAGACAGTCTAGAAATTTAAAGATTTTTCAATCCATAAATTTACAGATATTCAATGTCAAATTTGCTGTTTTTAGTTTTACAATAAAATCCGCAGCTAAAGACAAGTTGTTTTATTGATTGTTTATATTTACAAAGGTAATGGGGTGAGTTTCATCTTTGTATGATGATTTTGAAATTTTTGTTAAAAGTGAAGATTGAAAGTCTGTTTTGAATCTTAGCATACTGTTACATTTAATCATATATAACCTAACCTTATTCATTTTAACCTGGGGTTTTAAATTTTAATGCAACTTCTACTATTTTCTTACTTAATGTCTGTAAATTTACAGATAAGAAAATCTGTAAAATTATGGACTGTCCAAAAATTTACAGACTGTCCGTAAATATAATGAAATCATAGACCTGATATTAGATAAAGTATGCTCTTATTTGATGCTCTCAAAGGAGCATAAATGATTTATTATCCTCCAACAAAGTGAACATACACCTGCATTCAAGCCCCTTTAAAGAAAAACATAACATAAAACAAGGTTAGGGGGCCATGCCGTTACCATATTGGTAAATTGTAAAGAGATTATTCACTTTTTTCTTAATTTCAGATCTGAACAAAGATGTTCAGTTCAAAGAGTTACCTTGAAAAGAAAACAGGTCCCTATGGCATAGGGAGATTTAGTTACCTCCAGTCACTGGTCAACGAATATCAAAACACTGATGACATTGAAGCCAAGAAACAGATTATGGCAAACCTTGCAAACTTTGCTTATGATCCAATAAATTACGAACATTTTAAAACATTGAATATACTAGATCTCTTTCTTGATGGTCTGGAGGAATCAGATGAAGAACTTGTTGAGTTTGCAGTGGGAGGTGTGTGTAACGCAAGTGCTGAAAAGGAGAACAGGAAGCATATTATTGATAATGGAGGTGTTAAATTGGTGATAGGGTGCCTGTCCCGGTACTCCGAAGACACAGTTTTATCTGCAGTGGCAACTTTAATGTATCTTGTAACCAAAGAGTCTCGTGCCGAAATAACATGCTTGCCGGTAGTAGAGTGCATGTTGAGATTATCACTGTCGAAGAATGTTAGGTTAAAGAACTTGGCTACTGTTTTTCTTGAAGATTATTGTGACAACACTGTGATTCAGGAAGCCAGAATGATGCAGAAAAATAATGGTTATGTTCCAACAACTTGAATGTATCTCTATTTGTGTAGGGTAGAAAGATACAAATACACCAAATATAAAAATGCTTTCCATATATTACATGTACATGTAATATGAAAAGAAAAAAATGCATACCAGCATTACTTATGAGATGACTTCGAGAGAGCAGAGGAACGCACATAATTTGTCAATACAGCAAAGGTTAAGGTCATGGTGAACAGTATGCTTAAAAAAGTGTTTGCCGAATGCAGACACAGTGTCTTACAAGCTTTAAGCTTAATTTTCAAGGAATTAGATGTTTAATTATAATCAGCAATAGTCTTATCACATTGTTTTGTAACCAAGTTTGCAGTAAATCTTCTACTTTAAAAGACAAGATCTCTTCTTCAATAATGATATACTATGCATCATAGACAAAACAAAGATACATTTTCGAAGATCCTCTTTCATAATGTATCCTGCAGGTGTTATACATCATTAGATGATTTGTTGTTGATTATCTATTTTTTCACGAGTGTGAACAAATTTTAAAAATATGAGTGGAGTCTTGCTGGCTTAGTTGCTTGGGTCAGTATCACTTAAGAAATGAAAGAATTTAATGCCCCAAGGCCAAATGTTCAAGCTTTCATTCTTATTGCTCTGCTCTCTTCAATACCTGTATGGTTTACCAGTATTGTTTTGTAGTATTCTGTATGTCAGGACATTAAATGATATGTCTGCAGCATTCCTGTGTTTGATACCAATTAAAGTGTATTTTATCCATGTTTCTGTGACAGTTCTTTAGCTGTATAGAGAAAGCATCATGTTTCTTATCTAGTTTTTGCTGGTTCAATCCTCAGACCCCGTGTTCACAAAGATTTAAGGATCAGGATCAAGATCAGGATCAAATTTAAGACCTCTAATATTCTTCATTGTTTATCCTCATAGATTAAATATCTAATATTGATTTGATAAAACTGGACTTGCAATAGCAAGTTTATGACATTTAGAATAAATTTATTGTTATTTTTCCAAGATATGGGCATTTACAGTTGATCCAAATATTGATCATAATCCTAAAATTGATCCTTATTTTGATCTGAATATATTTTGTATTTGTTTTATTTATTGATTTTATCCCAAAATAGTATGGTGTCTTTACAAATCAGCATTTTTTTTTTACATTTTTGAATATTTCCCATTTAATTCTAGCAAAACACATGAATTTTAGTAACGTAAAACAATTTAAATATTTGAAAAATCATTTGATCCATTCTAAATGAACATGGGGCCAGGTGAGTCTGCCATTTATTCTGTCTTCCACAGCCAGTTAAGAAATTATTCTACCTTTAATAATGTCAACAGTGAGCCATAACAGACGGACATACTTATTGACAGTTTATTTACAAGACTATAGTTATGGAATTATACAATTAACTATCTTTTAATAAATTAAATGATCACACAGTCTTGCTACAAGTGTAGCTAGTAACTACTGATAGATAGTTCCAGACAGGATTAAATGTAATAGACTAGAAATCCTGTTATATTAAGTCTGTCACCTACGGTGAAATTGGTCATTACTGGTAAGTGATCCAGGAACGCTGCTGATGTAGACTGTGTTGAAATAAGCATAAAGACTGACTGGAAAATGTCAATTGTCACGATTTAAGCGGAAATTCTGTACAAAAAAAAAAAACAAAAAACTTTAAAATTTCACACAATTTATACTCTTTTTTTTGTTAGACATACAATAATAAATATCTACATGTATACTACTTTCAGTTTAATAAAGTTTAAAATATGAAGCCTTAAATTGTTGTGATATTCTGCCTCGGAATGCTCTGGCTTATTTTGTATACCATATACATTGTATACAAAGCTGGTTAGACACTTGTTTATCTTATCAATTGGTCAGTTGCAGTAATTGAATATAAAAAAGTTAAATTTTACAAGATGAATTGTAATCAAGACTGTCATGTAAAAATTAGTGCTAGTCATAATCAGAATTGATTGTTAAGCAGTAACATGTACATGTAGACAAGCTTCAAATAAGTTCATGTTTTTTGAAGGGTTTCAAATCATAACAGCACTGTAAAAGTCATATGGAAATTTCCTAGCGAAGACCTTAGGCGCCCTTCTGCATTAATTCAGTCATGACGTTTCTAAATCAATCAAAATACATTATAATATTCTTCAACATGTTCATTTACTTTCCTGGCTATACGGACATCACTGACTGTTGTAATATTGTAAATGATACATTATTCGCTCTCTTGTAATGTCTTATACAGTCCTCTGGGATATAGAGATTACTAGTTCTGTATTCTTCTAAGTGATAGAGATTCCATCTTTTTGCTCCTACTGCTCTTGTTCAGACCATTTCTAGCACTTTTCCTATTTCCTTCAACTGATTGGTAAAATTCTGAAGAAGAAAATAAAAGAATTTTACATGTCCTGTTAAAATAACAATAACATCTTCCATCTAAAATTAATATCTATGAATTAAAATCTTTGAATGAAAGCATGCAACTTGAATACTGATGTAAAGCAGTTTTTATATTTTGCAAGCTTATTAATATTATAAGAGAACCATTTCCTTAATAAGGAATATACAAGTGGAATTTATCATTGCCCTATACCAATTGCATTTTATTAACTTTCGGATTTATATCTAGAAAAAATAGACAGTGGATAAGCATTCCAGTGCATCTAAAATGTGTAGATTCAGTAGCAAATACATTTGTATGAACTTTGCTGCTTTGCAAATATTTCTTTAAAGGCCGGCCATTATGCACCAGAAATGTTTTCATTTTTGTCTTAAAAGCATTTCATATTAAATTTTGGTGTACTTTCCTATTTTCAAAAAAGCTTCTCAATTGCCAATTACTTTATAACCATCTTTTTCTTATGTTGCTTTTTAGCAGTTAGTACAGATATAGTGATTAAGTATTTTATAGTAGTAACAAGAGCGATCAGTAATCACATGTGTCGCCTCATGATGGCCAATTTCATGTTGGGACAAATTTTGTGACAGACGGACACACAGAGGGACAGTGCACAACTAGACTTGGTACTGATCATTCCTGTAAAGTTTGGATAAAATTGCACCAGTAGTTTATGAGGAGTAGTCCGGACAAGCTTTTGTGTATCTGGCAACAAACAGAATAAAACACCTTTTTATCAAAGGGCCATAACTCGGCCAAAAATCATTCAACCAAAAAACCCGTGCAATATGCGCAAGGACTTGAGCTACAGATCAATCCTGTAAAGTTTCATTGAAATTGCATTAGTGGTATAAGAGAAGTAGTCAGGACAAACTTTAAAAATAAATATTATTAAAGGGCCATAACTCTGACAAAAATCATTGAACCGGAAAATGCTGACAATATGCACAACTAGACTTGGTACTGATCATTCCTGTAAAGTTTGGATGAAATTGCACCAGTAGTTTATGAGAAGTAGTCCGGACAAGCTTTTGTGTATCTGGCAACACACAGAAAAAAACACCTTTTTATCAAAGGGCCATAACTCGGCCAAAAATCGTTCAACCGGAAAACCCGTGCAATATGCGCAAGGACTTGAGCTACATATCAATCCTGTAAAGTTTCATTGAAATTGCATTAGTGGTATAAGAGCAGTAGTCCGGACAAACTTTAAAATTAAAAATTATTAAAGGGCCATAACTCTGACAAAAATCATTGAACCGGAAAATGCTGACAATATGCACAACTAGACTTGGTACTGATCATTCCTGTAAAGTTTGGATGAAATTGCACCAGTAGTTTATGAGGAGTAGTCCGTACAAGTTTTGTGACGGACGGACAGACGGACGTTCCTACGAATGGGCATTTATTGGGTATTTCTTTTGTTTAAAAGTACCCAATAAGACAACAAAAGTACCCAACAATATTGACGGAATGAATAGAATTACCCAACAAGTGTCCATTCGTGTGTTCAAGGTACCCAACAAGTTTCCATTCGTGCGCCCGGACAGACAGACAGACGGACAGACAGACGACGGAGAAGTGATCCCTATATGTCGCCACTACTCCGTAGAGGCGACACAAAAATACTTCTTTGTTTACACTTTGCTTCTTTTACAACACATTATTTCACATTACGAGCTATTTTATTCAGGCAACATGCATATTACATGCTCTAAAGTTCATGTTTGCCCTTTCTAAAGAAGTAAAAATTTATTTAATTCCTGAGCCATGATGTGCCTTTAAAATATCACTTGATTCAGTGATAGTAGACAAATGCTTATATCTCTGTTGAATATGATTACATTTACAATCATGCAAAACAATTAATTCAAACATTTTACTCACTGAATAAAAACAAGTTTTTTTAACAAAGTATGATAGATGCATCAGATCTTTTTCAAATTTTCATAAAAATGATAATGTATCCGGGACATCCTGCTTTTCGCCTAACTTAACTTACCCTAAATTGGTCCATCGTAAGTTCTAGTGGATGTGTTTTGAGATTTCCACCTGCGTCTGCTACTGTCAAGGTCAAGGTCACAAATGGGAAGTTTAACTGTTTACATGTGTCCGAGCTCATTGCCATGCCTACTTTCCACTGAACATCAATTAACTGTAAGATAATAAATCAAATTGGTTCTTTTAAAATACAATATTTGCATGAATGAAGATTTTCTTTTACAGAAATTTAGAAATTAACAAGCATTTTTGAATTATTTTTTATTTGATTTTTGTTTTGGTAACTTGTTACTGTGTAACTCTCAAATTTTGCTTACATTTATTATGTTAAATTTTTTTTACTGTCTATTATTGAATAAAACTAAATAAAGTACAATATTAACATTATATCGCCAACTTAGGTCAATAACTGACTTATTCCCATTAAATTTCCGTTATAGCACTAAGGTGACAATCTGTTCTCATATTATTGAGTTTATCGGACACTATATATGCACCTTTACACCCAGACAAAACTGGATCTGCTCTATACCTTTTTTCTTTTTGATCTATGAAACAACAAGTTAAATTATTGCATATTACAAATTACATAATAGATGTTATTAATTTATTCAGGTTACAAAGCAATACAAACATGATATTTGAAAAGACACTTTCATTCATTATGAGCATTCTGATCAGTATCATCTAATATTATAAATGGACAGTTCCAAATTCAAAGGTGGACCAGTCCAATTCACAAATTAAACAAGAGCACCGCTAGGCGGTGCATTAAATGCCCGAAAGTGATTTTTTAGCATTTGTAAGACATTGGAATTAAATAAAGTATGACCTCCTTCAAATAGCAATCCTCCTATGAAGTTTGAATATTGTGGTCCAAATGTAACTTAAGTTATGCCCCGGAAACTGTTTTCAGTTTTAAAGTAATAGTGACCTTTGACCTTGTGACCACAAAATCAATAGGGGCATTCTACCTAATAGGGACAATCATCCTATGAAGTTTGGATATTGTGGGCCAAATGGAACTTAAGTTATGCTCCGGAAACTGTTTTCAGTTTTAAAGTAATAGTGACCACGACCTTTGACCTTGTGACCCCAAAATCAATAGGGGTCTCCTGCCCAATATGGACAATCATCCTATGAAGTTTGAACAACGTGGGCCAAATGAAATTAAAGTTATGCTCTGAAAACTGTTTTCAGTTTTAACTAAATTATGACCTTGACTTTTGACCTTGTGACCCAAAAATCAATAGGGGCCTTTTACCTAATAAGGACAATCATCCAATGAAGTTTGAATATTGTGGGCCAAATGGAACTTAAGTTATGCTCTGGAAACTGTTTTCAGTTTTAAGATAATAGTGACCTTGACCTTTGACCTTGTGACCCCAAAATCAATAGGGTTCTTCTATCCAATACGGACAACCATCCTATGAAGTTTGAATTTTGTGGGCCAAATGGACTAAAGTTATGCTCCAGAAACTATTTTCAGTTTTAAGGTCATAGTGACCTTGACCTTTGACCTTGTGACCCCAAAATCAATAGGGTTCTTCTATCCAATACGGACAACCATCCTATGAAGTTTGAACAACGTGGGCCAAATGGGACTAAAGTTATGCTCCAAAAACTATTTTCAGTTTTAAGGTCAAAGTGACCTTGACCTTTGACCTTGTGACCCCAAAATCAATAGGGTTCTTCTATCCAATACGGACAACCATCCTATGAAGTTTGAAATTTGTGCGCCAAATGGGACTTGAAACTTTAAACTTTTTATTTAATTAAAAGCCTGTTTCTATTTAACAATATTCAACGGCGTTGTACAGTACATATAAATAATAAGAATAAACGTGTGTATGCATAAGAATATGTGGATCAACATCAAATGAAAAAAAGAGGCTTTTACATACAATTCCAATTAACATATTTTTAAAAAATTGCAGAGACCATAAAATGATAAAACTAATTGATACACATGTAGCATGAGATAAGACATTAGTTATGCTCCCGAAACTGTTTTCAGTTTTAAGGTCATAGTGACCTTGACCTTTGACCTTGTGACCCGAAAATCTATAGGGGTCTTCTACCCAATATGGACAATCATCCTATGAAGTTTGAATTTTGTGGACCAATGGAACTTAAGTTATGCTCCGGAAACCAAATTTCTAACGGACAGACAGACGGACGGAAGCCAGGGGGGCATAACATAATATGCCCGAAATTTTTTCGGGCATATAAAAAGGAAATTGATGGAAAATATCAAATACCTTACCAACTCCTAACACATGATCCCCAATACTACATGACATCAACTGCTTGCCCTAAAAATAGTTAAAGGGGTGAGGAAACTGTTATTTATAGAAATAAAACAAGCTGATA